CACACACACACACACACACACACACACAATAAATAAATGTTAAAAAAAAAACACATCTGTTGTAGCTTGGCAGTCTAAGCACCTGCCTGGCAAGTACAAGTAGACTGGCAAGCGCAAGGACCCAGGTCCGATTCCTCGTACCACGTGCCATGCTGCCAAGCTGGGCATGCTATGCTGGCCACCAAAACTAGGCGTGGTGGCACATGCCGGTAATCCCAGCACTGGGGAGGCTGAAACAGGAGGATCACCATGAGTCTGAGCTGCGTAGCAAGACCTGGTGCCAAATAAATAAACAAAAGATTAAAAACAAAATGAAACAAACAAACAAAAAAAAAACACCTGCTGGGGTTAACCTTTCTTTCTTTCTTTCTTTCTTTCTTTCTTTTTTTTTGCAGAACTGGGGATTGAGCTCGGGCCCTTGCACTTGCCAGGGAAGCGCTTATTCTACTGAGCCATCTCCCCAGCCCTGGGGTTAATATTTCGAGTTTCTGGGGAAGATAGTACCATGAGCTGCTAAGAGGTAGCTAGTCCAACCTGGCCCATCTTCTCGTTCCTCTCCAGATGGCCACCACTTGCTCGGGAGTGGATCACCCCAGGGATGCCTTGGGGATATAGAAATCAAGTAAAAATTAAAGGGCTGCCAACTCTTTCTCTGTATTCTCTGATGAGAACATCAATGCCAAAATCTCTTATTTCTTTGGAATGTGTTCTTAAGCACTGGAGAATGTTCAACCTCACATTCTGTTTTATGGCTTAAACAACAGATGCTTTATGTTCGCATAATTCAGGGGATGAGAAATCTGAGAGGTATGTGTCAACAGGACAGGACCTTACATATTGACAAAGAGCGGCTTGATATTCTTCTGCACCTGCACATGCCTGCCTGCCTTTAGAGCCAAGATGGAATGGAAAGGGAAGTATTGATTATGATGCTACTGCAAAATTAGAATTGTACTATAGCGGGGGGAAATGATTGGAATTGTCTTATGTTTAGATTTTCCTTGCATGAAGTAATAATCCTTGTGTTCAAAATGTAAATGTAAGCCACAGGAAAACCAGACACCTAGCCCTTACAGCACCCACTATCGCTGAGTCTGGGGCTACTCTTACTCAACCTTTGGAACCTGAGGACAAGATTCCCAAGACAACTTTAACC